GGAAATGAGTAAATATTTGTAAAGTGCTCAGAACAGTACCAGCATTTAGTACCTGAAGGCAACGAAGCTCTTTAGCCCTCTCTGAAATATTTACTCCTTTAAAAAGAAATGCTTGCTAACCCAAGGTAATTTCTAATTGGGTCTCTTGGACTCTAACAAAATTAAGTGGGCGAAAAAAGTCATGAAAAATGTTTGGGGAGGTCAGCCTGCTTTTTTGACACTGAGAGGTCTCTAAACCATTTGGGGCACACCTAGCTTCCACTCTTCCTTCTTAGGGAGTACTCTAAATTCTCAAATTTTTTCTCCAAGACTGGTGGGGGAGGTTTTTAGGGGACAAAAGCAGCCAATTACATGAACAGGTTTTTGAAGTTGGTATTTGCTTTCCTGTTCAAGTCTGTTGGAAGGGAGGAAGTTGGAGAAATGAATGACCCTTCCATTGTTTTGCAATTTGAGTTCAGTTCTCTTACTTCAGAGCAAATGCAGAACCCTTTACAGCAGACCTTGCCTTCTCTCCTTTTCCTTCTTCACTGGAGCATCCCTTTACTCCAATTTTACAGACCTGGGATGACTAGCGGATGTAGGAAAAGCACAACACTCAGCCTTACCACTTTCTATTCATCACATATGTGATTCTTAACATGTCATAGAACCTATGCAGGTTTATTTCCTCATTTGTAAAAGGGGGTTAAAGATAATAACTACCTCATGGGCTGTTTCAATAATTAACTTTAAAAACAACAAAGCACTATGCAAATGTTCTCACTATTCTTAGTCGTCTAACACCCCTGCACACTCTCTACTTGTATATTTTCTCTTTTAATTGCAGAGACCTCTCTAAAAGAAGCTTTTAAAGAGATAATGAAGATGCTTCGAGGAGTTCAATACAAGGTTAAATGTCAGCAGCCCAAGAAAAACCAGCGTAAGTAGGTTTCCTTTCAGGGGTGCTGAGAACCTGGAAAAATTACTTTAATCTTTATTCTGACAGTGCTAACCTATGACCTCTGGGTTCTCGGGGTACCAGAGTCTCACCCACTGCGGGCACTCTTTCATTTTAACTGTCCCCTTTGTTTCCGCTCTGGCCCTGGGCGCCCGACGGGAGCCCTCTCCACGCTCGCACTTCAGCTGCCCCGCCGGGTGCACGCCGACCCCTCCGCCCCACTTTAGAAAGCGAAACACAGAAAAGCACGCTGGAAGCCGGATTGGCGGGGCGCTTTGGGCCGGGCATGCGCAGAGGCCGCGGCGGGTGCCGGCCTGCGAGGAGCGGGGACTCCGCGGCGCAGCCGCCGGGCTTGAACCTGGTGCGGGGGACTGAGTCTGTTTGCCAGCGCCCGAGGTCTCGCGGTGGAGAGCCCGAGGGCTGCGGGGTACCTGGTAGCGGCCGGTGAGCAGCTGGCTCCGCGACGGCGTGCACAGGGGCTGCGTGTAGTAGTTGTCCAGGAGCACCCCGCCGGCCGCCAGCGCGTCCAGGTGCGGCGTGCGGATCTGGGAGCCGTGGAAGCCCACGTCGTTCCAGCCCAGGTCGTCCGCCAGCACAAAGACCAGGTGGGGCGGCCGGCCGGTCCCGGCGCCCGAGCCCGGCGGCGGCAACAGGAGCAGCAGCGGGAGGACGGCGGGGAGGAGCGGCCGCCGCGGGCTGGGGCCTGGGAGCAGGCTAGCCGTGCCGCACGGGCCCATCCTTAGCCGCCCGCGGTCCGGGTGCTTGTGGCTCCACCAGCCCCGGGTACCGCTTGATGGAAGCAGGAACTGAGCGGCGGGGGCCTGCCCCGCCCCTGCGCGGGACCGCACCCCCAGCCGGTCGTGGGCTGGTGAGGCCGGGCGCTCGTGCCCTCGCCGCCTCCGACCCGGGCCCGGGCTGTGGCGGGGGAGGAGCCAGCGAGACGAACCCGTGGGCTCCCGCAGCCCAGCTCCGTGGAAACTGGGCCGACGCTTGAAAGGGACCTAGGCCCGTCGATGAACTTTGCACCGTGGAATCCTTAAAGAGGAGATATGTTCCCTTTAATAACGCTTGCCAGTTTACAAAGCCAATTCACAGCCCTCGTCTTCTGTAAATCTTGCGACAACCCTGGCAGCTAGGCATTATAATTAGTGCTCGTTTTTCAGAAGAAAAAAGCTCGTAAATGGTTGAGGCTCTGACTCCAGATCCTGAACCATGATGTTTTAACTAGCAAGTCATTTTTAGCTCAAGAGCCCAGCTTGGAGGTGGTGGGAGGACAGTGAAGAGGGAGAGGTCTAGATGGTGTTTCAGATTAATTTGTGAATAGTGTACAGCCACGCAACCACTTCCCACTAGGAAACAGGGGGCCAAATACACGGTCCGATTGCCCAGTCTCTTTTTTTTTTGAGACAGAGTCTCACTCTGTTGCCCTGGCTAGAGTGAGTGCCGTGGCATTAGCCTAGTTCACAGCAACCTCAAACTCCTAGGCTCAAGCGATCCTGCTGCCTCAGCCTCCTGAGTAGCTAGGACTACAGACATGCGCCACCATGCCTGGCTAATTTTTTCTGTATATTTTT